CTCCCCTCCCCTCCCCTCCCCAATTTGCATGGAAAATCGATCAACTGGGCCAGGAAAAGGGGTCTTCAGTTCTCCTCCACAAACGGAACCTGGCATGCTGCAGAGATCAAATAGTGTATGGTGTCTTAAAACCCTCCCCAGCATCTTTGCCAGGTTGCCCCTCAGTTCTGAGTGCAGCGCAGGAAAAGGACAGCCTTTCTCCGGGTGGCAGCCATCTTTTGCCAACAGTTCCCAGCATTCCTGACCACTGGCCATGCTGCCTGGGGGCTGATGGGAGCTGAAGTCCACAACATCTGGGGGGAACTGCTTGGGGAAGGTGTGCCTAGAGCACCTCTTTGGATCAGGGTCAGGAAAGGGGGCCCTGTCCAAACAGCAGTGCCGGGAAGGTACCTGGCCCCACCTGGACTGACACAACAGTATCATTAAGAAAATTAATTTGGATTTTTCTCCAACAGTAAAACCAATTTATGACGGAGATGCGGGATAAAACGACAGAACAAACCCATCCGCTTCACACAGCATCCTTCAATCATTTGGAAACCAATTAATTTCGGCATAAATCACGGGCAGAAGGAAAGCAGGGATTTGAAAGTGACTTTGCTAATCCCTCAGTTCCAGATTTTGGGGCCACCATTAACGCCCCTCCAAGGAGCCCCGCCTCCAAGGGAGGAGGGGCATGGGAGGGGCCCTCCATCATGGTTGCCTTCCAACGTATTAATTTAGGGGCGAGGGCGGGCCGTACATGCTCCCCGGGAGAGTGTCCAAACCGTGCTCAATGCCTTCCAAGGTCTAAAGCGGCAGTGGTGGCGCACTGCTGGGCTGAGCGCCCCCCCCCGGAGCCCCCCCGCCCCCCGTCCGGGCGGTGAGATGACAGATAAAAGAGCAGAAAATCACCAACCTCAGAGTGCTTTCGCCAAATGTCTATGTTCTTGCGCTGAGCTTTCGAGAAATGGTCCCAAGCTTTTTGTCTGGTGGAGGCGTTGAAAACGGCCACAATCTGCTCAACTTTGGTGAACAAGGAAGTCAAACAAGACAAGCAATTTATGTTGTGATCACTGGAGAACGGCAAAGCAAAGCGTCCCGGGCGCAGGTCCCTGTCCAAACCAGGCCAGCCTTATCCATCCCATGCGCGTCCTTCCGTACTCACGTGGTCCGGGGCTCTCCGTCAAGTCTGTCTCCACAACATGGGCTACACAAGTTATCCATCAATTGCCAACGGATCTGCATGCAGTTTTCCTAGGCACATTATGCTGCTCTGTTCTGGGGCTACAGGTGCATGCACACAGGGCTCTAGCTTGGAGAAAAGGCTGCAGGAGCTGTTCTAGGGCGCGACGCCAGTCCTATATCCATGATGGCCACCCCAGCGACCTGCTTTCAGTGTTGGCCCAAGTTAAGTTGCTCTCGCTCCAGCTGGTCAGCTGTAAGTATGATCATCACTGGATGCAACCCATTTAATTCAAAGGACTTACTTTTGCAGCAGTGGGTGTAGGGCTGTGCTGTTAAAGTCTCAGCCCTGTTCTGAAGTTGGAATCTGAAATTAGACCAGGCTAAGTAGGAGCTGAGAATCGGGCTGCGTGTCTGCTGAAAGCAAGAGTGGGCGACACACAAGCTTCCCGCCCTTGTTACACTACCAAAAGAGGTGGGGCGGGGCAGGTGGTTCTTTGGCGGCTACTTTAACGCTATGGAGGGCCAAATGGGCCACATTTCATTTCATTTATTTCATTTCAGGTTCTGTTCAGTTTGACCTAGTTTCCACTCTGAAGGAGTTTGGCTCCCAAATTTGGTTTCAGAACATGGCCCATGGAAAGACTGGTCAGACATGGGTCCCTGCAGCCGCCAGAGTTGACCCCACATAAAAAAGGACCCAGTTGCGAGCACCCAGTGTGGAACTGTAGTCGCACTGGTCACGCCACACCAGAAAGTTTCAGACTTCAGAGTCACCAGCTGAATTTGAGGTTCCCCAGGCTCACTGGGAGGGAACTGCTCGTTTTCGTGGGTTCACGTGAGACCGGGGAGCGGTGGAACTGACAGACCGTGGAGAGCTGAGATCAGGTTCGCTCCCCTAAATCCCCACATTTCAAGCCGCATGCCGCTCCCCTTGTCTCTTTTAGTCTTGCATTCCTCTCTTGCTTCTTTTGCATCTTGCTTTTTCAAGCCGGAGGGTAACATTCGGACTTGCCAAGCAAGTGCAAATGACGCACCACTGCGACCTTCTGTGTGGCTGGAACACACAAAACCAGGACAGCAAATTCTGAATCGCTGCAGCTCACAGATTCAAGAGAGGAAGGAGGCGTTTGTAACCACAGTCCACAAAAGCATTTGCACTTGTATTTTGGCTCAGGCATCACCGCTTATCTGGAACCCGTCATGTTCAAACCTCTGGTCCCTCTTTGTTGCACCAATATACACTCCAATCTTTTATTACTGCAATAATGAAACAGCATGGCACGCTCTTAAAGAAAATGGAAGAGCAGCCCCCATCTTCTCACATTCCTTACAGTCTGATCAACACCCAAGGAAAGTAGTCAAACACATTTGGATTTAAGATACTAAGCGCGACTCACTCTGGAGCAACAGGGCTGTGGTTTGGGTCTGGACCATTTGAGCTGCATCTAAATCTCAGTATCCCCAAAGCTAACAAAATGTACTCTCACCTGCTTGATTGCATCCCAGCAGAGATGTGTTTCCTAGAGAATTAAAATCTGCATTGTTTTCCCAAAACCTGCCGAGTCTGATCCCCAAGCCACTTATTTTTAAGGGAAAATAGCCTTGGCAACGCCTACTTCTATAAGCCAAGATTGCTTCCACTAAGATATCAGCTCCCCAGGCACGGCCAGTAATGGAGGACCTGAAGCAAAAGTTGCTAAATAGCATGTCCTGTACTGTGCCCTCACGCAGGATACTCCGTTCCGTCCCTCTTCTACTGCTTTCTATTTCAAGTGCCCCAAGAGTCCGCATTCGGCTGTTGACAGGGCCTTCCCTCCATTTGGTTCCCTTAGAAGTTTTTCGTACTGGTGCAAATTCCCTGAGAGGTGGGAATTCTGAAGCCAAGGATCAAGCGGTCTACCAGCCCAGCTGGTCCACAAGCCCAAAACTGTTCCTGCTCAGGTGGGTGGCCATGAACCCCTGAGCTGGGACATCCTTGGAGGCACAGACTGGAGGCTGGCAGCTGAGCTGAGGTGCCTTCAAAGGCATCTTCTCCGAGCCACGGGTCTTTGCCACCCCCGCCCTGCCTCACGCTCTGCCAGGAAGCCGTGCACTGGCTTTCGCTGCACAACTACCATCCTGAAAACCATCCGTGTCTCCATCCGTGGGGGAGACACGGATGCCGAGATGCAGGGTTGTCCCGTCTCTGTTTTGCTGCTGCTGCTGCTGCTGCTTTTGGTGCTTTCTTTCATGAGCTTTTTTTGTACATCTGCAGACCACAAGCCAAAGCAAGGGCTGCCGTTGCCTCCCCTTTGATGCACGAAAGTACCAGCTCTGCTATGCAAGCACCAGAACGTCAGAAACAGGGAAGAGGGAAACACAGCCGGCTCTTCTGCGGCCCAAATACGCAGGAACCACAGTCACCGTACATGTGTGGCCAAACTCCAACACTGAGCTTTCGGTTCGTGGAATGCATCTCTGTGTGAACATGAGACTCACACGGAGAGCAACCCCAGCATCGAGGTGAAGCTTCTGTGGGAATCACCCTCACGTGTGAACGGTGCTCACCTAACCCGACTTATGGAAGCCACGGCCAGTGGGGTTGCCGTGACCCACAGTCCGAGTCGCCTCTTGGTCGCTCTCCCCCTTGAAAGCCGTTTTCGAGTGCAGTGCCCTTCGCTGAACCAGCCACTTCCTCGCCAGCAAAGGGGTCAACACGATCGCGGCAGCCGGGACCACGCGCTCCCCGTGACCTGCAGAGGTGAAGGAGGCGATCCCTGGCTTCCACCAGCACGTGAGCAACCCGGCCCCACCCTGCCACCGCCTGCAGCCCCACAGGACGGGACAAGCCAAGCTCAGGGAAGGGGGGCCCTGCAGCAGGGCGTTCAATTCCCACCACGAAGCTTCAGCTGCCAATCGCCCCGGACTACAAGCGGGGGGAGAACATGCTCACACTCTTTCCACTGCCAGAGATGCTGCGCAATGTTCGGAGCAGTTTCAACAGGTTGCAGGCGGCCTTGGAGATAATCCGAAGGAAAGATGGGGTGTCGGTCTTTAAAATAAATGTTCGTGAATAAATGCACAGTGAACTCAGCTGCAAAAGGGAGTGATGACTTCCATGTATCCAAGAGACAGATTGGGTATTCCATTCGCTTATTAAATGAATGGGGAGAAACCGAGGGAAATATGGAAGTGTTATCATGAAGGGATCTATTTTATTAATGGCGAGCTTTAGAGTCTAATCATTATTCTGTTGTCCCTCTCACAAGCGCAAGGAGCTCTGAACTTAATCAACCATCTGTGGATAATTAATTAATTAGGAACTGAAGATGCACGTAGAACATATTTCTGAAGATCAAGTAATGTGAGTATTTTAACAGTTTCAGACTGAAAAGGTATAAGTGGGAACATTAGGATTCTTCTGCCGAAACCCTTGAACTACGAAGTGTGTAATTACGAGAACGGCTGAGAGTTCTTTCTACAGGTGTTAGCATTAATTAAAAATCCTTATCAGTTCATTTTAAAAAAGATTTCAGAGCATGAAAGTAGAATAATCATAAAATACACTGGCATTGTAATTACCAGAGATAGATGGTTGTTCCGCATCACTCTCAAAACAGGGGCCCGGAAGGAACATGGTGGATGGCTTGCCTCACTGGACTGGGGACCCAGGAATCCAGTCCGTTCTTGACTACTAAGCCCATGGGGTGACTCTGGGCAAGCCTTTCCCTCTTGGCCTAACCTACCTTGCAGGGATGTTGTTGTGAGGGTAAAATAGACTGGAAAAGGACTATGTAAACCAGCTGTGATGTCATACTAAGAAGAGTGGCTATGATAAATGCACCTACAAGGGAAAACCACAGAGTTCCATTACTAACTAGCCTTCATTTGTCCTGACCACCCACTCTCCACTTCCCCACCTAAGTCCTCCAACAAGAAGGGAAGTCCTATTTGTCTGAAATACTGTTCTTCGAATGCAGCCTTCCCAAGTCTCCGATGCTACAGAGGAAATCAATGCACCAAGCACAGAGATAGCAGAGAGATGCCTGATTTATAGTTTCTCACTTGTTGGGTCCTCAACACATTCAGAAATAGGTGCACCTCTCCCGCAGCTGAGAAACCTGGAGGGGGAGGTGGGCCGGGCGCGCGCGACGCAGCGAGCGACCTGGCACTGCTTCCGGAGCAGGCAGAGCCTTGTCCAAAGCCGCCAGTCAGACCGGCAGCGCAGCTTCTGCTCCATCCCGTGGCCGCACCCCGCATCCTGGCAGGCCCTGGGAGCGAAATCCCCAGCCTGGCCCTATTCTTGCCCCTGGCCCACAGCAGCCTCCCCAAGCTGGCCCACGGCAGGCCTGAGGCGGGTCCCCCGTCCCGGTTCCCCGGATGTGCCTCCCACTCACCCGCACCCTCACGCAGCTTTTGCACTGAGGGAGACACACGGCTTGGCCTGCCCTTCGGAGAGCGTTCCCCGTCATGATGAAAACCTTGGCAAGGATGAGGGGGCCACCACACTGCATCCTCCGCCTGTTTGCTTCCAGGCCCAGCTTATCTTCAGTCCAGCATATCATAAGGTGGAGGAGGAGAATGACGGAAGCTGCCTTGAGCCCTTTGTCGGAAAAAGGCAGGATATACATCGAGAAATAAATAAATAGATAGATAAAATCTTAAGTTGGACCTGAATGCCAATGTAGCGAGATCTTCCGCCAAGGCGCTACCTGAGCCAGTCCGTGATCCCAGGGCGCCTCAAGTGATGCAAAAGCAACGCAGATACGCATGCAAGCAAATTTTGCAGTTGAAAGAGGCTTAATGACTCTTCCAAAGCTATGAATGAACCGCACTGTAGGACAGAAATGTTGTGCAAT